TATCCAGGAGATCAACAGAAAGGAACAATTTAGCTGCTCATAATGAAAATACTAAAACTGTTACACATTGATGGCATCTGGAAGGCAGAAAAGAAAGAAAGATTTTGATTAGACATGTAAAGTCTGTCCTTACATTTAATTCTGTATGCAACTTGTGGCATTTTTAGATAGTCCTTACCTCTTCCTCGGAAAACTCTCAGAAGATTTTTATGTCAGTGGCTGCTGTTTGGAAAAGGCCTAGAATAACATCTTTACACCTGATTAATTAAAGAAAAATAACCCTAAGTGTGAGCGTAGACAACCCAACCAACAATGAATTCTGAAATAGGGAATAAGGTTTTGTGGATAAACAATAATGGCTCAGGTGTGAGCTTTGCCTTATACAACAGGGATTTCCCCATGTATCTTTCTCATCACACAGCCTTGCATTCTCCAAAATGCTGTTTTTGAATGTTGGATCGATCTTCAAGTCTGGTGACCCCCCACCAGGTAGCTGGCTGCAGAAGAGAAAATTAAAATGCTCACTAGATATTCCCAGAATCATTTTAGGTGTATACCTGGCCATCTTCGGAAATTATTCTGATGAAGGGTTAACATATGATGTCTTTAGAGAGGCTGCTAACATCATGTTGCTGATCTTAATCCTATCTCCACCTGAAGAAGGACAGCCCTGAAATGAAAACCTTTATATATGAATGTTCTCCATAAATGTGATATGCCTCTGATTTCATATCTTCCCTCTATGCTAATGACATATAAAAGATTGTCTGTATCCCAGCACATAAATCTTTTTAATAAATGTCATAATACTACTATAAATGAAATTTGATTGTATCAAACATTTTAAACTGTGTACTGAAGAAGAAAATTAAAAATGTTATGTGGCATATATAAGTGTGTGTGTGTGTGTGTGTGTGTGTGTGTGTGTATTCCATAGAATCCCTTAGGTATTTTTGAATTTGGGCAAACAAAGCTCTGTGATAAGAATGTAACACTGAAAAAAATTATGTCTATAGAATTAATGATTCTGCAGCTTAGAAAAAAAAATTCTGAGTTTTTAAAAATGTTACTGCTGTACAGGCTTATTCCTTATTCCACTATTAAACACTGTAAACAGTTCATTTAGAGTCAAGGAAGAATTTATTTTGTAAACCACTGTTGTCTTTGGTGCGTATCACTTTTTCTCAAATGCCTTTTCAAGTTGGTTAATATAAAAGTAGGTGACAGTATTTCAAAATGTCAGGATGACATGGCGCATACATTTCTGATCAATATTATAGCTTTTTCAGATTGCATAGAGCTTTTTTCCAGGTTATTATTTATAATCGTCAATTTCCTGGAATGAGAGAGTGGACAGGGCATTTTGACCCAGTGGTATTGCATCTATTGCAATGCCTGTGAAGGATCTTCATCCAAGGGGAATTCCCCACCCCCTTCTTGGCTCCAGAAATTTACTACTCTCCATACTGTCTCCTAAAGGTTCACTCAGAATATGGGGCAAGAAGCTGCAGGGGGAGAGAAAAGGTATGGAAAATCAAGCTTTATGAAATTTGTCAGATTTCACCTCTCTTGCTGCAGTACCTAACTAGTAGGCAGAAGGAGAGAAATTCTGCAGCCATGTTTAAAGTCTTGCATCCAGTTATTAAAAAAAATATATTATAATTTTAAAATTGTCTAGATGGAGTTATGGTATTCTTTAAAATAATGCAGAATAATCAGAGTAATACATGGATTTTCCCTCCCAAACTAGGAAAAAAACATTTTATTTATTTATTTAGCTGTTTTTATAGCCCCTCCCCT